CTGCACTGTAAATTTAACTCCCAGGCTCCCAGTTCGACAGGCAAATCCCGGCTGAGGGACACAGCCACTTCAGAATTTTGTGGTTTGGTTGTTTTAATGTGAAAGGTAAGAAGAGTCACCAACTGGCTGCTCCTCAGCTCACTAAATGATGAGCATCTGCCATCGCTGTAATTGTGAACTCAGGTCTGAAGTGACTCACCTTGTTTTGATTGCTCCACAATGCAGAGAAAATGAATGTGTAAGTATTTTAATCAGTTCTTCAGCTGAATACTCTACAGGATTACTTTCGCCATGAGTAGCCAGATCTGCTGTGGGCTGCAACTTGAATTAAACACATTCTATACGCTCACTTTATTCTTAATAAAAACATGGGATTAAATCAAACAGTCCAGAGTCATACACAGAGTTATGATCCAATTAACACACGCTATTTGGTCTGCCGTATTGAATGCAATCATTATGTGCAAATCCATTTTGCAGAGGTAAATGCAGATCAAATGCACCACACGGTACAGAAACAGTTGGTGTTTCGCCTGACAGTTCTTCCTTCACCCAGGTATGCTCTACATCCTCAAATCCACAGCTGAGAAGTTTTAATGGGCCTTGAGGTGACTTTCACATTGGTCTACGTGAGAGGAGAGTCACTAGCAGCAACACTTTCAGGGCACTAGCGGAATATTTCTTAAAAGCGCTAATATTTCCCTGTATACAATCACTTCTGTAGAAATCAAGCACCTACACAATAGAAAGTACACAGACATTATAAGCTTATAAACAGAACATCACCCAGTACCAGGTAACAGTAATACAATCTCCCAGGCACTTGAAAGGTGCTGACAAATACAAAGAGAATTAAAATGCAGCTTGGAGAACATTAGGATGGACACGGTCATTTGAAGCTCTTTAAAGAAACAACCCGAGCAGGCAAGAGCAAACAACCGGTACCGCTAAGGCACATTCAACAAATTCCGAGTCTTCAAAAACGCTTCCAAGGTGATGCTCACGGGGCCCTTCGCTGCCAACTCAATTAGGCGCATCTTGATGACAGAAGGAAGCTGAGTATTTTAATTTGTCACTTGTTGAGAAAGGACTGTGGTCCCAAGGACCTGAATGCCTATTCCTGTGGAGGGATGTACATGTCAGAATAACTGGTTTGGAGTTATTTAATAAGCTTGTTTTCCTTAGGATTTGTCAAAAAATCAGGTTCACGCTTCTCAATTCATGCTTTGAATACTGAAGTTATTTCAGCATGTGATTGTGTTTCCTGACTCAAAATTCCTTTTACTAACAATAAAATCCCGTGTAAACACAAGCCTACTATTTTCGGTGTTGTAACTACCTCCATATTTCCGGCCTTTCAACCTGATTAGAGGTAGAAATGTTTTCAAAGTTTCAAAAATGAGGCCATGTTACCAACAACTTCCCTGTCTGCTGTACTGGTGAGGTCGTGATAAGATAACTACGTTTTCTGTTCCTTGATTTCTTCAGGCAAGATTTCTAAATATTAAAGGTGAAGCAAAAGTTAATTTTAAAGTTGCCTCATATCACTGCTACGTTTGGGTTCACAGTTTTATGGTCTCAACGTACCCAATTTAAAGTAAAAAATTGCCCTTAGCCAGAAAAGTAATTTATATTACAGCAAAACCAGGCCCCAGGGAGAAACCATGCAGAAAAAAATTCATCTGTTCCCTGAGAAATGTACAGTCTAAATTAGCAGAGATTCCTTTACATTGGCTCCCTCTTGATAAATACAGCAATACAGATGCCAAGCTGAGAGTGGCAAGAAGATAGACTCGTTTTTTTCCCCTGCATTAGTACTACTTAGTGCTCATGCCAGTAATGGTCAGGAGCTGCCTAATACTTTAAGAAGTCTATACGGGACCCATATTATAAAGGCACAGAATTTCAGCATCATGCTGTAATCATAGTTCACCTAAGAGTTCAAATCTGAGTGGGAATGTCTTGTCTGTACTTTAAAGATGAACAAAACGAGAAACACTTTTACTAGCAGCACCGAAGACAGCACGGATCGTGCCTTAGAGGCATTACACCCCGTCACGGAAGAAAAGACAATTCAAGAGCGCTTGCTTTTGAGATTCAGAACATGCAGAATAACTCCACGGCTCTCAGAAACATCGCTCTCCCCTTCCTGTGAAGGTACAGCTAAACGGACCTACCTTAAATGGACCATATCTACAATTGTGGGAAACGACTCATTACAAAAATAGGAAAACCTCTCCGTGAATTCATCTGGGCAGATTTCACTACAGTCCACAAAGAAACATGCTGTGGTTGTTCGCTGAATTACAGAAATCTCTGGAGAACGTTGGAAAGGATCTTACTATGCTGATCGGATCCACAAGAAAAATGAACATTGAGAGATCAGTGCCCACTGAGTTTTACCCGATTTGATATTCTGAAAGTGCCACGCTATTTAAGTCAATTGCAGACATGAGGTGCACAGAGAGGAGCTGCAGGAAACATTTGCGATATCCCATCATAAAATAACTGCCAGAAAGACAGAATCTGCAATTTTAGTTCCCTTATAACTTGGGAACAAATTTTTAAAAAGCAAGATAAGGTGTCTGATGCAATGAGTTACTCAGATCCCAGTTCAGCTGCATCAGCCGTATACCGAAACTACCTGCAGGGCCTGTAAGTTGCTTCACAATAAGCAAAGAGGCCTTTGTCATTTTTTGGCAAATGGTGTCTCATCTAATAAAACTGATTTACTCAGATCCTTTGAAACCTCTCACAAAGTACACATACATTGAGCTACGTGAAATTTAAAATCTAAGAGCTACAAAGACCATCATCGTGCGGAACTTGTTCCTCAACGCTAACTATGGTTTGCCTCCTGAGCTCAATTAAATCAAGTTGTATTCAGAGAAGAAGGACACAGCTCAACTTGGACCCTGGACTGACACCAAGGGGCACAAAAAAAAAAAGTATAAGCCTCTGAAATTTGCTTCAAGTTCACTGTGAAGTAGGCAAACAGTAAAATCTTATGTGATTTTATAATCAGTTTTAACCTTACAATTGCTGTTTAAGAATAAAAACTTAAAGAAACAGAAGTTTCAACATCAATTTTTTGGCAAATAGGTGCAAAGTAATGCAAAAATAACTGCTGATGTGGTTGGAAATACATCTCGAGAATCTATTTTCCCCAAAGGCAGTTTCGTTCTTCTCGGTTACATCTTACTCCCCACAGCATTAAATGCCTTGGCACGTTCTTACTTCTGCAAGAACAATAAAGCCGTGCTCAGAGCGAAGAGCAGAGCAGAACAATTTAAATCCACCTCCTTCCTCACCCTTTTGGCTTGCAGGGTCTGTGACCATCAGAGGGGAAGAAATTGAGTCACCGATGTCGCAGAGCTCACATGCAGAAACTGTATAAACCTCAGTAGAAAATGATTTAACCAAATTGGTGCAATCTCTTCAGCGAACGAGCCCTCTGTCACATTCACTTCCATAGTGGTTTGTAATTCAGAACATACTTCAAACTGTACAGCTATGATTCTCCCCTGAATGAGCACCAAATGTGTTTATTGGATTAATAATGTTTTAAAAAAATCTTATAATGCAAGATTATTACACTGAAGTTAAGCTTTGGGCCACACCTTAAATCCTCCCTGTTCATAGCGGCAGTGGCTGAGCACATCTAAACATCCACGGCCAAAACGACCACGGAGGTAAGAGCCCGGGGGAGTCACACCGCGGCTCTGCCAGGCAGCTGTTATCACCCCTCCACCACGGTCGCAGGAGGGATTGCGGAAGCACTTTTCATTTCAAGGTTTCTCTTTGCAAAACTGGAATTACAGCAGCTGATTTTGTGCTGAAGCAGATAAAAAAAGCACGTATCACCCATTTAATTGCCTTCAAATGAGAGCAGTCACTTCCAGCTAAAGAAGCAACCGCATTTTAAACCATTCCAGCTATTTCTGCAGCGTTCATCTCACAAAAGCACTGATGGCTCTGTGATGTGCTGCTTGCAGTTATGTTACTCAAGACTGAAGTCAGATACTCTATTAACAAGTAATTAGAGTTCCTGAGGTATTATATGATAATAAGGCTGGGATAAATTCTTGACAGTGAAATTGTTCTCGAGTTTGAATTCCTGGGAGAAGGTAACATCTCAATAAAAAGTTCCAGCTATTCTTGGCACGAGGACAATGCTATCTATAGAGTCATTCTAGTAGAGTATTCTGTATGGCGTAGTAGATTTGTGCCAGGAAATCAGAGAGCTAATTACCCTGAAAGCATCTGATGTACAGATAATCTGGAATCGATGCATACAGAGAAAGAGATTATCTTCAATGGCATTGCTTTTCCTTGTCTCCAACCACTTTCTACTGAGTCCAGAACGCAGCAGGGTGACAGATTGCAATGCCACTTGCATATTACATATTAAATATGCATTTAAATAAATATTCTGCTTTTTGCAGCTGCCTGTCTCATGGCTTGTAAAACACCAGGAAGATGTTATTAAAATCTATCCCTCTGCAAAGGAGTGATGTAGTTCCTTGACCAAGGAAGTACCTAATAAACTGACAACAGCTTTTGATGGTAGCTGAAAGGACTGAAAGGCTCAAAGCTTCTCCGTCAGCCCCGTTTAAGGTCTGACACAGATCTTTTAATGAGATCAGACCACCGATTTTTCATTTGTAAGCAAATCTTACCTATTGAAGAGGTGTTGAAATCTGTGTGCTTTTGAGGTTAAGGCAAGGCAGGTAAGGCAGCTTGAGGATCCTTCCGGACTTAGCAGGCCCTGTTCAGGACACAGATTTAGTTCTAAATAGGGAACGTGAGAAGAGGGCTGCCCTCAGGCCAAACTGACCCAGGGGAGGACCACCAGCTTCAACCACATCAACTCAGCCAGTGCCAAGTTCCTTCTGGATGAATATTGCAGAAGTTACTCAAACCAGGAGGGCAGACTGCTTCCTGGTCACCCTGAATGCTGGCTGCCACCTTAGGTAAATAAACACAAGGAAGTCCACAGGCTGCTCTGCTCAATTTGGACAGCCAGCAGGCTCGGACTGTAAGCAGACTTGGTAGGTTTTTTCCAATAGATGCCGATGCAGAAGCACACTTAAATCCCAAAACATGAGAAGACAGACAGTCTGTAGCAAAACCTGATTTTACAAATCAAAGCAGAGCAAATGAACCATTTTTTTATTCACATCCCTTATTCAGTGAAAGGAGTTCACAGACGTAGCACCTTGAAAAAGTTTAGTGTGCATTACAGTATTTTTCATTCAATTGTGTCAAAGTACAGGTCACAGCTTTCGCTCACAGTTTCCACAGCATCAGCTCTGGGAACAAGAATTCAATTCAAGTTTGCTTTTTGACTAAAAACATAGCTACATTCATTTCAGCAAATGTATACCTGAAATACCCTGTTATGATTTTGGAAGCAAAATCATTAAGTTAAAAAGGAAAAATTACTACAAGAATGCTATAAATTAATAAAAAGGTTTATAAAATTTTTAAAATAAAAATCTGTCTCGTCAGATATATACTGTATATATTTAGCACTTTAGAATTAATGGTAATTTCCGGGCATCATCATCATACCACGTTACCACTTCACCCCCTACATTCAAGTACAGATTAGTTGATCCCATGCTGTTGTGACCAATTCCTATTAAAGCTTTCATCCTTCATAGCTTTCACCAGCCAGTCCCTCTCGTTCTCCTCGTCAGAGTCACTCATATCACTGGAATCAGCAGCCAGGAGACGAGAATAATTAATTTTTTTCTGCCGCGGCAATTTAGACTGGACAATTAAGATCAAGAAGAGCCACAGCACCAGGCACACGCACCACGCCCTGTACAGAACTGCCAGGCCAAAGTGCTTCACGACAAATCCCCCTGCAAAACTGCCCAAACTTGCTCCTCCACCGTAGCAGAGGCTCTGGAGGACAGCGTGCAGGGACCTCTCCATGCCTGGAGTGGCTATGTCATCCACCGTCATGTTAACCACCCACCACAAAGCACCGCTACTGAAGGCGGATAAAATCTGGACAAGAAGAACTGACCACGCAGTCCACAAGAAGGAGTAGCACAGAAGCTGTACTGCCAGGAGGCTTAGACTGACTGCAACAATTCTGATGCTCGAGAAGGTCCTCAGCAACTTCCCTTTGAAGAAATAAAGCAAAATTTCAGCAAGCAGCCCAACAGCCACGGAGAGCCCCATGTACAGCTCACTGCTGCCTCGGTCCTGCATCTGCCAGAAGAGAAAGTTCTGCACCGCAGACCCAGCTGCGCCTGCGAGGAAGACTGTGATGGCGTACAGGATCGCTCGGCCATCGCTCCACAGGAGGGCCAGGGCTTTGGCGGTTTTGTTAACATGGTCGGTTCTCTTGGGAACATGGATGGGAAAAAAGACACTGACAAGCAATGAGAGTGTTATCAGGAGAGCATAGCCATAGAAATGGACAGCGAGGCGAGTGATTGTACTGCTGAGGAAGCAATGCAGTTGATCCACGAATATGGCAATGCTGCAGGCGCCTACAGATGCACCCAGGTAACTCCAAATCCACAGCTTGCCATACTTGTCAGTCGCATCAACGAAGTCGAGATATTCATAGAGATTCTCATCCACTGTCCATTCGAGAGATGTAGCCAACAGCTCCCAAAGCACGACAGCACCCAGTACCATAAGAAAAATCTGATGCTCTCTGTCCTGAAAGATGTTTTGCACCGCCTCAAAGCTGACATCTTGAGCGTCTTTCCGGTGGTCTGAAAGGTTTCCAGACTCGTAAGAACCTCCAACAGTAGGAAGAGTTGTTTTAAACAAAGAGAGCTCATTACTTTCAGTAGGATAAAGGCTTTCTTCAGCATTACCAGCAAGATCTATCGCAGCAGAACCCAGACCGCTCGTTTCCTTCTCGAGTCCACGTAAGGGAGGTCTGTAGGGAGCTGGCATTTCTGGTTCTCGTGTCTCCCAGTTAACTGCTTCCACAGAAGCTGTCCAGCCAGAGGGACCATCGGAGTACCCATTTGTCTTTGTATCGCCTTCACCAATCCCTCTGCCTTTTTTCTCGAGCGTGTCTGTCAGGCCAAATAATCCCTGGAAGGCTGCACTGGTTAGCGTTGGCTTTCTGCTCGCTATTAAAACACCAGCCGTCGTTTTCACCATTTCCTTTGGCACAGCTTTTGCGTTTGTAACAGCACTCATGTGGCTGCTCGTGCCCGGACCGGGCACTGTGGCGGCGGCCCCTCGGTCACCCAGCTGCTGGCTGGCGTTGCAGTACTTGTACCCCGCGTCCCCGTCGGCGGGTGGGGCGAGGGGGAGCAGCAGGCCGGGCCCCGCCGAGCCCAGGCAGGAGC